GTGTGTGTGTGTCGTGTCGTGTGTGTAGTGTGTGTGTGTGTGTGTGTGTGTGTGTGTGTGTGTGTGTGTGTGTGTGTGTGTGTGTGTGTGTGTGTGTGTGTGTGTGTGTGTGTGTGTGTGTGTGTGTGTGTCAGGGAGGTTCAGGTGATGGAGTGTCAGGGTCCCTCGGAGGGGGGGGGAGGCGGAGGAGAGTCGGGTCAGGCGGCGAGTACAGCGCTCATCGAGAAGATCCTGAGCGAAGAGCCACGCTGGCAAGGTACGTCTGAGACACAGATTTAAAGGGGACCTATTCTGCAATGTCATAACAATGTTTTGTCTTGTGTAACCATTAGCCAATCAGCAACCAAGGTAACCCCCCCCCCCTTATCACCTGAATCTCCTCCTAGAGCACCATTGAGTTCTTTGTAACCAAATGTCTCTCAGAGGGGCGTGGGGGAGGGGCTCCTTATTTTCATCTAAAGTAACAGACAGAGAATCAGCACTTTGGAAACAGGGCTGAAACAGAGGGGATTATGGGTAATGCTGCAATGATCTGTTTGGTGTTTCAGCCAATCAGAGACAGGCTCTAGATATATCTGAGACCTGTGATATATTGATGAAGAGGAGGATGATAGGGACCTTTTTAAAATAGGTCCCCTCGGTCATGAAAGGGAAAACGTTGGAAAGATGTTTCAAATCGGGGAATTCCTAAAAAACAAATTGCATTTGAAAATCTCAGAATTCTACGTATTTCTATGAATTTCTGTTTTTTTAGACCTAAAAAACGGACCTAATTATACCTCTCACTTTCTGCAAGGTAAAATAAAGTAGTGGAAAAATTATATGACAAATAGTAGCATTATAAAAACTATTATAACATTAAAAAATTAAGAGCAATATGTTCACAAACTATAAACCCAGGAACAAATCTCTTTCACATTTCAAGATTCAAGATTCAAAGGTTTTATTGTGATATGCACAAAGTGTAGAAATTCTGACAAAATGAAATATGCTTTATTGCGGTGATACCTATTTAGATAAATAAGTAGATTGCAAGATGACGAACAGACGGATGTTTGTGGGAGCACTCGGGTGTTTACCAGTCTTTGTCTCTGTGTTTTTCCTCCCTCAGATAACAACTACGTCCTCTCCCACTATAAAACGGAGCTCTGTAAGAAACCTCCTCGTTTGTGTCGTCAAGGTTACGCCTGTCCGTACTTCCACAACAGCAAAGACCGGAGACGCAGCCCGCACAAACACAAATACAGGTGAAGCACCCCCGACTGTATTTCCACACCTTGCTGTTTGTTTGAGTTTGGGCGTGTCTGAATGCGTTTCCCCGTGTGAGCAGAGCGCTGCCGTGTCCGGCGGTGAAGCAGAGCGAGGAGTGGGGCGACCCGAGCAAATGTGAGGGGGCGGAGAGCTGTCAGTACTGCCACACCCGGACCGAGCAGCAGTTTCACCCCGAGGTCCGTCCGTCAATCAAAATATATAAACAGAGAAATTATTAGATTTTTTTTCTCCGCCATTTTCAGAATAAAAAAGAACATTCAGATAATTTTTTTCTAATAAAAATTAAAATCTGAGCTGATCAGATTTCAGCCACTTTATGATGTCACAACGATGTTTTGGCTTGTGTAACCATTAGCCAATCAGCACCAAGGTATCACCTGAATCTCCTCCTAGAGCACCATTGAGTTCTTTGTAACCAAATGTCTCTCAGAGGGGCGTGGGGAGGGGCTCCTTATTTTCATCTAAAGTAACAGACAGAGAATCAGCACTTTGGAAACAGGGCTGAAACAGAGGGGATTATGGGTAATGCTGCGATGATCTGTTTGGTGTTTCAGCCAATCAGAGACAGGCTCTGGATATATCTGAGACCTGTAATATATTGATGAAAAACAGTGTAATAGGGAACCTTTAACACATTGTTCCAGACAGCATTTAGACCATGAGGCTGTTTTAGATCAGGTTTTTGTAGTAGACATGGACGGACATCAGGAGGAAGACAACAGCAAGGGGTTGTGAACAAAATAAAAGGGGAGGCTAAATACTGCCTAAGATTAATTTGAGGCAAAAATGGTACTTGCTTGAGTCATGGCTTCCATCACAGACTGAGTCAAACTCTTCCATGCGTCTGTCCTCTTGGCTCACGCTCTGTGTTTGTGTGCTGCAGGACATCGAGTGTCTGGCCAGCGACGGGATGCTTCTGGCCAGCTGCTGTCTGGCGGGTCAGATCCGGGTCTGGGACGCTCAGACTGGAGACTGTCTGACCGTCATCCCACACCAGGGGTGAGCACTTTCACAATACTGATTTTATTATATATGTCAGTGTTTCTTAGTGCTAAATCTGTCCAGTGCTTTTTATTTGAATCCTTTTCAGTTCCCTTATTCTGGTCACCCTCATTCTTTATGGTATAACAACAGCACACTTCAGCATTTTATAAAGCCAAATATGTAAACATAATTATTTGAATGACAGCACAGCCCATACTGGATTGTTGAGGCTGTTTTCTATCTTATTTTAGTCCCTTTGAATTTTTTGTATTTAAGGAATTGTCATTAAACTATGTAATGAGCAGGACATTTGACATTTTAGTTACAAACATGAATTTGTCAGTGCTCTCTGGTGGTCACATTATGTGCTGGTGTCGGAACTAAACATACAAATAAAAGCAAGGAAACAACAATAAATACATCATAAAAAGAGAGGGTTTGAGAATGTGTATGGGTGATGCCGGTTTGTATAGTTTATAAAGCGGCATTATTAGTACAATATGTTGCACTTTGAGTGAAACAAGGCGGTGACAAACAGCAGTTTTGATGGAGCTCTACTCTGATTGGTCCTCAGGTTGAAGCGCAGCAGCAGCAGCAGTGGCTTCTGGGATCAGCGGGACGGCTGGGACGGTGTGGGCGGAGCCTCAGAGTTTGAGTGTTTGGGCTCCGACCCCCCCCTCAGCGACGGGCTCTCTGAGGAGGACGGCTTCCCTCTGATGCGCCGCTCCGCCCCCTCCCGTCCCACGCTGTTCACCGACCAGCCCGACCTCACGCCGCTCATCGACACCAACTTCGCCTCCCAGCCCCCGTCCCACCTCTGCACCCCGCCCCCCTCCCATCTGTGCACCCCGCCCCGCGACGGCTTTGACTTCGGGGGTCTGGTGGAGCGCGCCTACATCGAGCACGAGCCCCCCTCCCCCTCCACGTACCCCTCGGCCTCGTCCTCCCCGCCCTCAGGGGTCCCGCTCCAGAGGAGACTCAGCGGAGGGGACGCCTCTGCCTCGCTGACCCCAGAAAGAGGCTCCGCCGCGGGGACGCAGGCCACCGCCGACTGGGAGAGCTCCGTGTGGGCGCTGGAGCTCAGAGGAAACCTGATCGCTGCAGGGAGGAGCAGCGGGAAGCTGGAGGTGGGTGAAGGAATAATAATAACTGAAATGTATATAACGCCTTTCAGTCAGACAGACAAAACAACAAATACAGAATTACATAATATTGTATATGTATCCATTTTGCCTTTCTGTTTATTTTTACACAAAGACCTGATCAGCTGTGTTATTTCAGGTCTTGATGATGATGATCAAACATTATATATTTATTGGTCTTTTTGTCTACCTGTCCTCTCGGGTGGAGATGGAATATCTTAAAAGTTACTCTAAAGATATTTTAAGACATCTCTCAGTCTTCCATTCACATTTGAATGACATGTTTTTATTCATTATGACAATTAAGTATTACAGGTGAAATATGAGCTTTTTCATCCGCTACCAAGAGATGCTTTTGTCCTTATCACGCCTAATGATCATTACAAAGACTTGTTCTTGGACACTTTTGAAATTAAAATGTTATTATTGTCCTTAGGAGCTGCTTAGAGTTTGGAGCTGGTCATGTGTCTGAAAAGGGTTTAGGCTTTGAGAAAGTTACTGAACCACTACCTCCTCTAATGTTATGTTTGAAATATCAATTCAAATGACCGTAATGTTACATGCACTCTAAGAAAGAAATGTGAAATTGATTGAAATTCATATTTGGTTCCAGTTGTGGGATGCAGTGGAGGGCTCGCTGCGCTGCGTTAATGAAGACGGGGGCTCTGGAATCACAGCTCTGGCCTTCCTCAACAACAGGTGAGACTCAGAGGAAGTACACTCTACTTCCTGTGGGGTGGGACTCAGAGGAAGTACACTCTACTTCCTGTGGGGTGGGACTCAGAGGAAGTACACTCTGACCGTTTCTCAATCGCGAGGATACTGGCTTCCAAGCCAATATTTCAAGGATGCTACGTCATCGAGTGCCGCCGAAGGACTGTTCCAATCTCCAGCATACTTGGAATTCCACCGAGGCCGCGTCCTTGGTTTGGGGGTAATTTCGAGGCTGCACATGGGTAGACTTCGCGTCCTTAAAATCCCCACAATGCTTTGCGCACGGACCAATTTCCCCAAATCTGTGGCGGAAAATGTAAGACGGGGCCTCTCATATGACACACACCTG